CCAGTGGGGATTGATCCCGATTTTCAGGGATTTATCCCGATTTCCAGTGGGGATTGATCCCGATTTTCAGTGGGGTTTTGATCCCGATTTCCAGGGATTGATCCCGATTTTCAGTGGGGATCGATCCCGATTTCCAGCGAGGTTCTGGTCCCGATTTTCGGCTTTAGGAGGGGATTTAATTGGGGGAAAGGGAATGAAGGTTGGAAAAGCAGAGTTTGTTCATTTCCATTTATGAATGAATATTTCTGGTTTTATTTATTCTCATTTCTAAAGGAATATTTCTATTTATTTTTATTTATTTCTGCTCAGTCCGAGTTTATCTGGGTAAAATCCTGGCGTTTATGGAACAACGCTTCCTATTTATTTATAAATATATTTCTATTTTTGTGTCTTTATTTGCCACCTTTAGGGGCAGAAAAATGCGGGGAAATCCAAGGAAAATTCCCCCAAAATCCCCCAAATTTAGGGATCAACCCCTCCCCGGACAGGGCTGGGAATTCAAAGCTAAAAAATTGGGAAAAGCCAGAAAAAAAAGGAATTTGGGGGATCTGGGGCAAAAGGGCTGCGGGAATCTGACACGCCGGGAGGGGGGATGAGGAAAAGCAGGAATTGAGGGAAAATCGGGTTTTTGGTGGGATTTGAGGGGTTTTTTGGGGATGAGGAAGGAAAAATGGGATTTATTCTGCTTTTTCCTGCAATGTCTGAGGCCACAACGAGCTCGGGCTTGGCCGGGGGAATGGATCCGGCTCGGAGCCGCTTTTTTATCCCAAAAAATCCAAATTACAGCGGAAAACTGGGGGGGAAAGGTGAGTTTGGGGATTTTATTTATCCCAAATTCGGGGCAAAGCCTGGGAAAACCCAGCCGGGAACGGGCGGAAAATCCCCAGGAAATTGGGATTGCGGGGGGGAATCCGCTCGGATTTGAATTTCCCTCAAAAAAGAAAAAAGGAAAATGAAAATCCCGGGTTTGTTTCCCTCCCTCCTGCCCTAAAATGAAAATCACGGAAAATCCTCTTTTTTCCCGATTCCGGGGGAATTTCCCGGCGCTGGAGCCGATTTCCCTTCCCGAAAAATTCCATTGCGCTGATTTTCCCTGGAGTGGGAGAGGCAGAAATTCCCGGTTTTCCCTCGGGAAAATCCAGGAGTTTTGGGGTTATTTCCTTCAATTTTGGGCAAAAACAAAAGAGGGAAACAAAGGGAGAAGGATCCAGGGAACGAGCCGGGAATGTTTTCATGGAAATTGAAAATCCCTTTTCCCCTTTGTCCTCTCGCCGCCGTTTTTATTATTTTTCTTTTTCCAAAAACGCCGATTTCCCAGGAAATTCCTTTCGGGATGGGAATTCCGGCCTGGAAAAAACCGCAGCTCCCGCGGCCGCGATTTTGGGGCAGAATTCCCCTTTTTGGGGTTCAAAATTCCCTTTTTTTGGGCAGAATTCCCTTTTTTGGGTCAGAATTCCTTTTTTTCGGGCAGAATCCCCTTTTTTCGGGCAGAATTCCCCTTTTTTCGGGCAGAATTCCCTTTTTTGGGTCAGAATTCCCTTTTTTGGGGTCAGAATTCCCCTTTTTGGGGTCAGAATTCCATTTTTTCGGGTAGAATTCCCTTTTTTGGGGCAGAATTCCCATTTTTTCGGGCAGAATTCCCTTTTTTCGGGCAGAATCCCCCTTTTTCGGGCAGAATTCCCCTTTTTGGGTCAGAATTCCCTTTTTTGGGTCAGAATTCCCTTTTTTCGGGCAGAATTCCCCTTTTTGGGTCAGAATTCCCCTTTTTGGGTCAGAATTCCCTTTTTTTGGGTCAGAATTCCCTTTTTTGGGGGGCAGAATTCCCTTTTTTCGGGCAGTATTCCCCTTTTTGGGGGCAGAATTCCCATTTTTTTCGGGCAGAATCCCCTTTTTTGGGGCAGAATTCCCTTTTTTTGGCCGCTGGCCCTGGAATGTTTCCCGGCCAATTCCGCTTTTCCCACCGGGAATTGGTGCAAAACCTCAAATCCCGCCCGCGGCCGCTCCACCTGCGAAAATGGGGCTCAATCCTGAATTTTTGGGGTTTTTTTAAAGGAAAACCCGGGGATAAACGCCTGAAATAAAGGGGAAAAATGGGAAAAGGCGAAATTCCCTTTTTGGGGTCAGAATTCCCCTTTTTGGGGTCAGAATTCCATTTTTTCGGGTAGAATTCCCTTTTTTGGGGCAGAATTCCCATTTTTTCGGGCAGAATTCCCTTTTTTCGGGCAGAATCCCCCTTTTTCGGGCAGAATTCCCCTTTTTGGGTCAGAATTCCCTTTTTTGGGTCAGAATTCCCTTTTTTGGGTCAGAATTCCCTTTTTTTGGGTCAGAATTCCCTTTTTTTGGGGGCAGAATTCCCTTTTTTCGGGCAGAATTCCCCTTTTTGGGGGCAGAATTCCCATTTTTTCGGGCAGAATCCCCTTTTTTGGGGCAGAATTCCCTTTTTTTGGCCGCTGGCCCTGGAATGTTTCCCGGCCAATTCCGCTTTTCCCACCGGGAATTGGTGCAAAACCTCAAATCCCGCCCGCGGCCGCTCCACCTGCGAAAATGGGGCTCAATCCTGAATTTTTGGGGTTTTTTTAAAGGAAAACCCGGGGATAAACGCCTGAAATAAAGGGGAAAAATGGGAAAATCCCTTAAATCCCCGCGGGCGAAACGCTGCAGGGGAAATATTGGGAGAAGCGGGAACGGAGCCGAAAGCACGAGGGAAAATGGGAATTTTCCTCTGGGATTGGGACACAAATCTGATTTTTGAAACCTTTCTTGCTGGCAGGGATATAAAGCGGCACAAGAAATTTAAAAATGTGAATTTGCCGCGGGATCTGCCTCCAGAAAAAAAGGGGAAAGGGAAAGAATTTGGGATTCGGGAGGGGGAAATTCCCGTTTTTCCTGCTCGCCTGTGGTGGGAGGAGAAATATCCATAAAAATAAATAATAACAATAAAAACCCGCATTTCCAGGAGGGATCTGAGCAAAAAAAAGGGAATTGCTCCCGGTCCCGGTTTTTGGGGTTTCCTTTCCCCGAGTTGTTTTTGGGATCCCTCCCCGCCCCCGGAGCCCCGAAAAGCCCAAAAATTCCTGGAAATGCCGATTTTTTTTTAGGAAATTCTCGTTTTTTCCCTCCCCCAGGTTCCTTTGTTCGGCTCCCGAGGCTCCCCCGGGAGCTCCCGGCCCCAAATGCCGTTTTCCTCCTTCACCTCCACAAAATGAGATTTTTTTTTTCCTCTTTTTCCCCTTTTCTTTCCCTTCCCCCGATTTTTCCTCCTTTTCCTCTCCTTTCCCCCCATTTCCCTTCGGTTTTCTCCCTTTTTGTCCCTTTTTTCTCCCTTTTTTCTCCCTTTTTTCCCTTCATTTTCTCCCTTTTTCCCTTCATTTTTCCCTTTTTCCCCTCATTTTTCCCCATTTTTTCCCTCTTTTTCGCCCCTTCCCGACCCCCGACCCCACAATTCCCAAACCCCAATTTTCCCTGAGATTCCCCGGGAATTCCGGGCGCATCCCCCCGTTCCCAAACCCCCCAAAACCGCCTTTAATCCGAATTTTGGGGCATTTTCGGCCGTCCCCGCCGGGCCGGGCCCTTCCCGCTCCGTCCCATAAATCTCGGGGCTTTTAGGGTCCGGTCCCGGACGTGCCGCGCGATGTTCAGCACTTCATAAAAATTAAAAGCGAAAAAAAAAAATCAAAATAAAGCCGAAAGCGGCGGGCGGGGGAGGCCGCGTTTGGCTTCAATTTGGGAATTTTCTTCCTGCGGGCGCTGCGAGCACAAAGGGGGCGAATTCCCGGCTTTTCCTGGCGGCTTTTTGAGGATTTTCCGTGGGTTTTGTCTCGTTTATTGAGGGGTTTTATCCCCCGTCGGTTTTTATCTTCTTTATCCCTTCCTTGCATTCCGCTGCCTTCCATTCCAAGCCTGATTTTCCCGTTTAATTCCTTTTCCCCCCCCATTTAATTCCTTTTTTTCCCCCATTTAATTCCATTTTTCCCCATTTAATTCCATTTTTTCTCATTTAATTCCATTTCCCCCATTTAATTCCATTTTCCCCCATTTAATTCCTTTTTTTCCCCCATTTAATTCCATTTCCCCCCATTTAATTCCATTTTTCCCCTTTAATTCCATTTTTTCCCGTTTAATTCCATTTTTCCCCGTTTAATTCCTTTTTCCCCCATTTCACCCCGTCCATCGCCGCTTTTCCCCATTTAATTCCGTTTTTTTTCCCTTTCCCCCCCGTTTTCCCCCATTTCCTTCCCGTTTTCCCCATTTCCCCGCATTTCCCCTCCCCCCCCGCCATTCCCGTCCCTTTTTCCCAACCCCGGGAATTTTCCCTTTCCCCTTGAACTTGGCATTCCCCCAATTTCTCCCGCAATTTGGGTTTTTTTCGGATTTTTTCCCCTTTTCCAGCTTTTTTCCCCTTAGGATGCGCTGGGGGTGGGAGCAGGGGAAGGGGGTGACCCCAGACCGGCGGGATTTTGGGAATTTTGGGGAATTTTGTGGAATTTGGGGGAATTTTTGGCTTTTTAGGGACACACGAAGCGTGGGAGGGGTCTGAAATAGGGACATGCTGGGGAAAAAAATCCCCAAAAAATCACAATTTTCCCATTTCCCCCCCGATTTTCGCCCCTCCCTCTTCACCCCTGCAGCTGCACCCCCCGAAATTTTGGGGCGGAACGGGGGAAAATCCGAATTTTTGGGGGAAAATCGGGTTATTTCGGGGAAAACCCAATTCCTGGGGAGTCCGGCAGGAAAACGGGGCGCGGGGGGGGGCGCACGGGGTGAATTTTTTGTGATTTTTTACGGATTTTCGGGAAGGGGGGAGCGCCTGGGAGAGGAAAAAAAAAAAACCTCGAAAAATCCCTCGAAAGGTCCAAAAAATGAGAAAAAAACAATTTTTCTTCATTTCAAAAAATTAAAAATAACGAATGGCGCCTGTAACTAATTACAGATCAAGGCGGGGGGGTTTTATCCCGTTGGAATCCCGCGGAAAATCGGGAATGGGGAGGGGGGGGGGGAGAGCCTGGGCCACTGCCGGGAGATGCTGCCCGCCCCGGGCGGCGGCGGCGCGGACGGAGCCGCGTTCGCGGAGCTGGCGGGCGCGGAGCCGGCGCGGCAGTGCCCCTCGGGCTCGCTGGGCTACGGCGGCTACCCCTTCGCGCCGGGCTACTACGGCTGCCGCCTGGCCGGCGTCAACCTGCCGCAGAAGCCCTGCGGCTACCACCCGCCCGACAAGTTCGCCGAGGCCGGCGGGCCGCTGGCCGCCGAGGAGCTGCCGGCGCGGGCCAAGGAGTTCTCCTTCTACCCCGGCTTCCCGGGCTCCTACCAGGCCGTGCCGGGCTACTTGGACGTGTCGGTGGTGCCGGCGCTGCCCGAGCCGCGGCACGAGGCGTTGCTTCCCATGGAAGGCTACCAGCCCTGGGCGCTGGCCAACGGCTGGGACGGGCAGGTTTACTGCTCCAAGGAGCAGCCGCAGCCCGCGCACCTCTGGAAGTCGCCGTTCCCAGGTAGGGAGCGGAGCGGGAGCGGGAGCGGAGCGGGAGCGGTGCCCGCGACCCGCGCGGCTCCGGCCGCAGGGGCTGAGCGCCGCGATCCCGCGGAGCCCAGAAATGCCGTGCAGCCCCCACCGATCCCGTCTATCCCAAATAACCCGTGTGCCCCGCGTATCCCACCTCTCCCACCTACCCCCTGTATCCCACCTCTCCCACCTCTCCCGTCTCTCCGGATTTATTCCGTGTATCCCGATATATTTATCCCATCTATCCCATCTATTCCGTGTACCCCGCGTATCCCATCTATGCCATATATTCCATCTATCCCCCCTATCCCATTTATCCCGTCTATCCCATCTATCCCTTATATCCCATCTATCCCGATATATTTATCCCATCTATCCCGTATATCCTGATCTATCCCCTATATTCCGTGTGTCCCATCTATCCCACATATTCCACATATTCCGTTTATCCCATATATCCCATATGTTCCGTGTATCCCATATATTTCATATATCCCGATATATTTATCCCACCTATCCCGTTTATCCCATATATCCCGTGTATTCCGTGTATCCCACTTATCCCACCTATCCCATATATTCTGTGTATCCCATTTATCCCACACATTCTGCATATTCCGCGTATCCCACATCCCATTTATCCCACATATTCCACATATTCCTTTTATCCCATTTATCCCATTTATCCCATATGTTCCGTGTATCCCATATATTTCATATATCCCGATATATTTATCCCACCTATCCCGTTTATCCCATATATCCCGTGTATTCCGTGTATCCCACTTATCCCACCTATCCCATATATTCTGTGTATCCCATTTATCCCACACATTCTGCATATTCCGCGTATCCCACCTATCCCATTTACCCCATATATCCCATATATTCCTTGTATCCCATCTATCCCATCTATTCCGTGTATCCCATCTATCCCATTTACCCCACCTATCCCATCTATCCCATCTATCCGGATCTATTCCATCTATTCCCCCAATCCCATATATCCCGTTTATCCCATTTATCCCATCTATCCCATCTATTCCGTGTCCCCCACCTCTCCGGATGTATTTTCCCCACCCATCCGTGTATCCGGACCTACCCCAAGCCATCCAGGTCTATCCCATCTATGCGGATATATTCCATGGATTCTATTTATCCCATATATTCCCTATATCCCGATCTATTTATCCCATATATTCCCTATATCCCGATCTATTTATCCCATATATTCCAAATATCCACATCTCTTTATCCCATATATTCCAAATATCCACATCTGTTTATTCCACATGCTCCTGGCATCCGGATATATCCCATTTATCCCATTTATCCCATTTATCCCATCTATTCCATATATCCCCATATATTTATTCCATGTATCCGGGTGTATTTATTCCATATATTCCGGTATATTAATTCCCTGTATCCCGGGTATATTTATTCCATATATCCGGATATATTCCATATATTATTCCATCTATTCCCTATATCCGGATATATTAATTATGTATCCCATATATCCCGGTATATTAATTCCATATATCGCATATATAAGGGTATATTTATTCCATTTATTCCATATATATTAATTCCATATATTCCATGTGTCCATGTATATTAATTCCATATATCCGGACATATTAATTCCATATATTCCATATATCAGGGTGTATTTATTCCATATATCCGGATGTGTTAATTCAATTTATTCCATATATCAGGGTGTATTTATTCCATATATCCGGGTGTATTAATTCCATATATTCCATATATCAGAGTGCATTTATTCCAGATATCCGTGTGTATTAATTCCATTTATTCCATGTATCAGGGTGTGTTTATTCCGCACATCAGGGCACATTTCCCCCCCATGTCCGGCTGCATTCATTCCGTGTATCCGGGCGCACTCGCTCCCCGTCCCCCGGTACCCGGGCGCGTTCCGCGTTTCCCGGCAATTCCGCCCGTTCCGTGTATTCCATGTGCCCGCGCTCGGGCCGGTAATTAGAGGGAAGCGGCTGAGGAATGCTCGGAGCGGGCAATGTGCACGGGCACGCTCGGCGGGGCGCGGCCAGCGCGGCCCCAGCGCGGCTAATTCCCTGATCGTGCCCTTGCAGGGAGCCGGTCCCGGCCCCAAACCCGGAGTTAATTCCATAATTCTGCCCTTCCTTGGGAGCCGATCCCGGCCCCAAACCCGGGACTTAATCCCTGAAATCTGCCTCTTCTCCCGGCCCCAAAACCCGGAGTTAATTCCATAATTCTGCCTTTCCTTGGGAGCCAATCCCGACTCCAAAACCCGGAGTTAATTCCATAATTCTGCCTTTCCTTGGGAGCCAATCCCCGCTCCAAAACCCGGAGTTAATTCCATAATTCTGCCCTTCCTTCAGAGCCAATCCCGACTCCAAAACCCGGAGTTAATTCCATAATTCTGCCTTTTCTCCCGGCTCCAAACCCGCGCTAATTCCCTGAACCTGCCCTTCCTTGAGAGCCAATCCCTGCTCCAAACCCGGAGTTAATTCCATAATTCTGCCTTTGCTCGGGAGCCGATCCCGGCCCCAAAACCCGGAGTTAATCCCTGAAATCTGCCTTTTCTCCGGGCCCCAAAACCCGGAGTTAATTCCATAATTCTGCCTTTTCTCCCGGCCCCAAAACCCGGAGTTAATTCCCTGATCCTGCCCTTCCTTCAGAGCCAATCCCGGCCCCAAAACCGGGACTTAATCCCTGAAATCTTCCTTTTCTCCCGGCCCCAAACCCGCGCTAATTCCCTGAATTTGCCCTTCTTCCGAAGCCAATCCCGGTCCCAAAACTGGGAGTTAATTCCCGAAATCTGCCTTTTCTCGCGGCCCCAAAACCCGGAGTTAATTCCCGAATCCCGCCCTTCCTTCGGAGCCATCCCGGCCCCAAACCCGGCGCTAATTCCCTGATTTTGCTTTTTTTCCTGGAGTAATCCAATCTCCAAAATTCCGCGGTAATCCCCGAATTCAGCCCTTTCTCCCGCGCCAATTCCGGCCCAATCCAACCTCCAAAATTCCCCAATTCTGCCCTTTCTCCCGGGCCAATCCAACCTCCAAAATTCCCAAATCTGCCCTTTCTCCCGGGCCAATCCAACCTCCAAAATTCCCAATTCTGCCCTTTCTCCCGGGCCAATCCAATCCCCAAAATTCCCCAATAATTCCCGAATTCTGCCCTTCCCGCTCCCCCGCGGGCGGAGAGCTCAAAAAAAGGGGAAAAAAGCGAAAATCCCGCTAAAAACGGAGCCCGGAGCGGCCCGGGGGGCTGGGGGCTGGGCGCTCAATCAGCTCCCAATTAGCGCAATTAACGCCAGAGGTGTCAAGTGACAGACGGAGCTGTTTGGGGAGAGCCCGGAAAGGGAAAAGGCCCCAAAATTCCCCTTCTGGAGCCGCTCGGAAACCACAAAATCCGCGGGGCTGCTCCTGCGGGAGCCCCACATTACCGGGGGGCCCCGGGTGTGGGGTGGGGGCGTCACCGGGGCTGGGGGGGCGCATCCCTTCATCCCCCCTTTACCGGCACAAAAAAACCCCAAAATCGGCTTTTCCGGGATTCTGGGGACGGCGGGAAGGGGAGCTCGCCGCGTGCGGGGTTTTTGTGCTTTGGGGGACCCCGCTCCGCTCTGTGACCCCAAAAAGGAGCCGCTGCCCCCCAGACCCTCCCCAATTAACGCCTGGGCCGTAATTAGGGCGGCGCTCCGAGCAGCGCTCGCCTCCATCTTCCTGCCCCTTTTTGGGGCGCCGGATTTGGGGGCTCGGCTCCCCCCAGATCCCCGCGAGGGACCCCGAAATCCTCGGGGAGCTTCGCCCCCCTCCCGGCAGCGCCGGCGCGGGCTGGGGGTCCCCAAATCCCCCCCTCCCGGAGCCTTTCCCCGGCCCCAGCGCCCCCAAAACGCCGCTGGAGAGGGGAAAATTTGGGTGATTTTTCCCCCTCCGAGGGGATTTTTGGGGTTCGGGGGCTCCGGGCGGGGTTTTGGGGCTGCTCGTGGCAGATTTTCCTCTGCGGGAAAAGGAAAAAGGGGGTGGGAGGAGAAAGAGGAAGGAGGGAAAAGGGGAAACTCCGAATATTGCCAAAAAAATCCGAATATCGCCCCAAAAACTCCGAATATTGCCCAAAAGCTCCGAAAATCGCCCCAAAAAGTGGTGTTTGAGGCGGCGCTGGGCTCGGAGCGCGGGCGCTGCTCCTTCATCCGCGGCCAAGGCAAACAGGGAATTATCCCCGGAGTGTTTTCATTCCCATTATCCACAACATCCTCAGCCATTATCCCTCCTCTGGCGCCTTTTCCTCCCTTTTTCCACCTTTTCCCTCCGTTTCTCCCTCCTTTTCTCCCCCTTCTCCCCCCTTTTCCCAAATTTCCCCCCCCTTTTCCCCCTTTTCCCCCTCTTTACCCCATTTTCCCTCCTCCTTCTTCCCCTTCCCCCCTCATTTCCATGTTTTTTTTCCCTTTTTGCCCCTTTTTTCCCTGCTTTTTTCCCTGCTTTTTTCCCCGCTTTTTTCCCCGTTTTTCCCCTTTCCCACCCCCATTTTACCCCATTTTCCCTCTCCCTCCCCAAAGCCCTCCCCCAGCCGCCCCGACCCCAATTCCCCCTTTTCCCCCCCTCGTTTCCCCCCATCCCCCTTTTTTCCCCCTTTCCCACCCCCATTTTACCCCATTTTCCCTCTCCCTCCCCAAAGCCCTCCCCCAGCCGCCCCGACCGCAATTCCCCTTTTCCCTCCTTTCCTTTCCCCACATCCCGATTTTTCACCCATTTCCGTTCCCCCCGCTTCTCTCTAAATCCAATTTATTCACATTATTCTCCTTTTTTACCCATTTCCATTCACCCCGCTTCGCTGTTAACCCCTTTATCCCCGTAATTCCCATTTTTACCCATTGCCCCCCGATTCTAACCCCGTTTTTACCAATTTCTCTCATTTCCAACCCAATTTTCACCCCTTTCCAACCCCATTTTCACCCATTTCCCCCATCCCAACCCCATTTATTGACTCATTTTCACCTCAGCCCTCTTCGCTGTTAACCCCTTTATCCCCGTAATTCCCATTTTTACCCATTTCCCCCCATTCCAATCCCGTTTTTCCCCAATTTCCCCATTTCTAACCCCATTTTCCCCCATTGCAGACGTGGTGCCGCTGCAGGCCGAGCCCAGCCCGTTCCGGCGCGGCCGCAAGAAGCGCGTGCCCTACCCCAAAGCCCTTTAACCCCTTTTACCCCTTTATTAACCCCATAACTCCCATTCTAACCCCCATAATTCCCATTTTTTCCCCATTTTTCCCCAGTTTCCCCATTTCTAACCCCATTTTTCACTCCCCAGACGTGGTGCCGCTGCAGGCCGAGCCCAGCCCGTTCCGGCGCGGCCGCAAGAAGTGCGTGCCCTACCCCAAACCCTTTAACCCTTTAACCCTTTATCCCCTTTATTGACCCCTTTATTAACCCCATAACTCCCATTCTAACCCCCATAATTCCCATTTTTACCCATTTTTACCATTTCTAACCCCATTTTCCCCACTGCAGACGTGGTGCCGCTGCAGGCCGAGCCCAGCCCGTTCCGGCGCGGCCGCAAGAAGCGCGTGCCCTGCCCCAAACCCCTTTTACCCCTTTATTAACCCCATAACTCCCATTTTTACCCATTTTTCCCCATTTTTACCATTTTTCCCCCATTTCCCCCTCCCCAGACGTGGTGCCGCTGCAGGCCGAGCCCAGCCCGTTCCGGCGCGGCCGCAAGAAGTGCGTGCCCTACCCCAAACCCTTTAACCCTTTAACCCTTTATCCCCTTTATTGACCCCTTTATTAACCCCATAACTCCCATTCTAACCCCCATAATTCCCATTTTTACCCATTTTTACCATTTCTAACCCCATTTTCCCCACTGCAGACGTGGTGCCGCTGCAGGCCGAGCCCAGCCCGTTCCGGCGCGGCCGCAAGAAGCGCGTGCCCTGCCCCAAACCCCTTTTACCCCTTTATTAACCCCATAACTCCCATTCTAACCCCCATAATTCCCATTTTTACCCATTTTTACCATTTCTAACCCCATTTTCCCCACTGCAGACGTGGTGCCGCTGCAGGCCGAGGGGATGGAGGGACTCGCAGCGGCCAAGGGCCGGGAAACGGGGAAGGGGGGATTTGGTGTTTGTCATCGTGCTGGCGGGACGCGGAGCTGGCCAGAATCCCAAAAAATCAGAGACAGAAGGGAAAAATATTCAGTATTTATCATCGTGCTTCTTGGACTTTGAGGTGGCCAAAATCCCAAAATCAGAGACACAAGGGAAAAACATTCAATATTCATCATCGTGCTGGTTGGGCTTTGAGATGGTCAAAATTCCCAAAAAATCAGAGACAAAAAGGAAACAATTCCATATTTATCATCGTGCTGGTTGGGCTTTGAGATGGTCAAAATTCCCAAAAAATCAGAGACAAAAAGGAAACAATTCCATATTTATCATCGTGCTGGTTGGGCTTTGAGGTGGTCAAAATTCCCAAAAACCAAAAGAATCAAAGACAGAATGGAAAAAAATTCCGTATTTATCATCATGTTGGCTGGACTTTGAGGTGGCCAAAATGTCCGAAAAACAAAAAAAATCCAAGACAAAAAGGAAAAAATTCCATATTTATCATTGTGCTGGTTGGACTCTGAGGTGGCCAAAATCCCCAAAAATTCCGAGACAAAAAGGAAACAATTCCATATTTATCATTGTGCTGGTGGGACTTTGGGGCGGACGGAACCACCAAAAATAAAAAGAAAAAAAATCAAAGACGGAACCGAAAAATTCAATATTTCTCCTTTTACTGGTGGGACTTTGGGGTGGAGAAAATCCCGAAAAAAGCAAAAAAAAAACCAACCCAGAAATGTAAAAATTCGGAATTTCTCCTCTTACTGCTTGGACTTTGGGGCAACGAAGCCGCAGCTGAAGGAGCTGGAGCGCGAGTTCGCCGCCAGCCGCTTCATCACCAAGGAGAAGCGGCGGCGCATCGCGGGCGCCACCAGCCTGAGCGAGCGCCAGGTCACCATCTGGTTCCAGAACCGCCGCGTCAAGGAGAAGAAGGTGGGCGCCAAGGCCCGCGCCCCGCTCCTGCGCGACTCCTGAGCGCCGTGTGCCGGGGCCCGCAGCGCCGGGACCCCGAAACGCCGGGAGCCCGGAGCGCCGGGAGCCCGGACTTTGGGGCGGACGGAATCACCAAAAATAAAAAGAAAAAAAATCAAAGACGGAACCGAAAAATTCAATATTTCTCCTTTTACTGGTGGGACTTTGGGGTGGAGAAAATCCCGAAAAAAGCAAAAAAAAAACCAACCCAGAAATGTAAAAATTCGGAATTTCTCCTCTTACTGCTTGGACTTTGGGGCAGCCAGAATCGCCAAAAAGGGAAAAAAATCAAAGACGGAAAGAAGGGAAAAAATTCAATATGGAGAAGCGGCGGCGCATCGCGGGCGCCACCAGCCTGAGCGAGCGCCAGGTCACCATCTGGTTCCAGAACCGCCGCGTCAAGGAGAAGAAGGTGGGCGCCAAGGCCCGCGCCCCGCTCCTGCGCGACTCCTGAGCGCCGTGTGCCGGGGCCCGCAGCGCCGGGACCCCGAAACGCCGGGAGCCCGGAGCGCCGGAAAAAAAAACCAACCCAGAAATGTAAAAATTCGGAATTTCTCCTCTTACTGCTTGGACTTTGGGGCAGCCAGAATCGCCAAAAAGGGAAAAAAATCAAAGACGGAAAGAAGGGAAAAAATTCAATATTTGTCCTCGTGCTGGTCGAGAAAATCCCCGAAAAAGGGAAAAAAAAGAGTAAAAAAATTCGGTATTTTTGCTCGTGCCGGCGGGACTTTGGGGTGGAGAAACCCCGAAAAAGGAAAAAAAAGTGTAAAAAATTCAGTATTTATCTTCGTGCCGGCGGGACTTTGGGGTGGAGAAAACCCCGAAAAAAAGGAAAAAAAACCCCGAAACCAAAAGGAAAAAAATCCCATTTTTCCCCTGGTGCCGGCCGGACTTTGGGGCGGAGAAAAGCCCGAAAAAAGCCAAAAATCGGAGGCAGAAGAGCCAAAAATGGGTATTTGTGTTTTCCGGGAGAAAAATCCCAAAAAAGGGAAAATTCCCACCCCGGAGCTCCGAAATCCCAGCGCGGGATTTGGGGATTTTGGGGGAAAAAATTGGAATTTGGGGCTGAGAGGTGGAAATTCCCGATTTTTTCCGTGATCCCGGTGGAAAAAATTGTGGAAAAACAACAAAAAAATCTCCAAAAATCCCAAAATTCGCCGCGGGCGGCTCCGGCTCCCGGGTTCTTTAAGGATGGAAAAATCGGGAATGGGGGAAAAAAATCCCTGGGGGATTTGGGGGAATTTTGGGGGATTTTTGGGATTTTTGGGAATTCTCTCCCACGAGTTTGGCAGGGGAAAATCGGATTTTCCAGCTGGATTTTTGGGGTTTTTGGGGATTTTTGGGATTTCTCTCCCGTGGGTCTGGCTGAGGAAAATCAGAATTTCCGACCGGTTTTTTTGGGGTTTTTTTGGGATTTTTTTGGGATTTCTCTCCCACGAGTTTGGCTGAGGAAAATCGGAATTTCCGCCCGTTTTTTTGGGGTTTTCTGGCGCTGCTCGCGGGGTTCCCCGAGCGATTTTTGGGGTTTTGATCCGGATTTGGGGTTGTGCTCCCGCTGTCGGCTCGTGGTGTCCGCCCTGTGCCATCCCTTGGAAATAAATCGCTTTTTTGTCGTTGTTTTGCCTGGAGGACAAAAAAAACCAACAAACAAAATTCTCTCTGTGCGGATTTTTCAGCTCCCGGTGGGAATTCCTGGGGAAATGGGGAAAAAGAGGAAAAAAAATGGGGGAAAATGGGGAAAAATCAGGAAAAATGGGAAAAATCAGGAAAAAATCAGGGAAAATAGGGAAAAAAATGGGGAAAAAAATCAGGAAAAAATCAGGGAAAATGGGGAAAAAATGGGAAAAAAAATCAGGAAAAATGGGGAAAAATGGGGTAAAAAGCAGGGAAAAAATCAGGAAAAATGGGAAAAAATGGGGTAAAAAGCAGGGAAAAAATCAGGAAAATTGGGGAGGAAAAAAGGGAAAATGGGAAAGGGAGAAAAGGAACGGGAGCGGGATGAAGTGAGAGCCCTAAAATGGGATTTTTGTTGCAATTAATTTGTATTTATTTCATTTTTATTCACGGGATTTTATTAATTTTGATTCAGTCTCTTTTTTTGGGTCTGTTTTTATTGCACTTTTTAATTGGATCTCTTTCTAGGTAAGATCTTCCCACTGAATTGAATTTAATTAATCTCTTTTAATTCAATATATTTGTATTTGACCGCATTTTCAATTCATATCTTTTGATTTCATGGTCTTTGACATGTTTTTTATTATTTCATGTTTTTATTTCACGTTTTTATTTCACGTTTTTATTTCATGTTTTTATTTCACGTTTTTATTTCACGTTTTTATTTCATGGCATTCTTACCCAATTTAAATTTTACTGGATTTTTTTCTCCCTCTCTTTATTTTCCCTCCCTAAACCCGCCCGAGGGGAGGGAAAAAAAGGCCAAAAATGGCTCGAAAATCCCGATTTTTTTTTTTTTTGGCTTTAATTTGCCCAAAACGCGGCAAAACTCGAGGGCAGAATCGGGACAGAAATGGGAGAAAAAAGGGAATTTGAGGGGCTCCTGAGGGTGGCAGAATATTCCGTTTATTCTGGATTTAAATCCACTCAAAGCAGATTTGATGTGCAGTCAATATTTATTTTGTATTCCTTCCAGGCGCGTGGATCTCACCCGAATATTCCAATTTTTTTTGGGGATTTCGGGGCGGATATTTCAATTTTTTCTGGATTTTGGGCTCTCAGTGCTCGGATTCGGGCGGGGGAGGGTCGGGGTTTCAATAATTCGGGGTTTGGGGTTTTTATTTGGGGTTTTTTCTCTTAAATCTCGTCCTAAATGGGAATTTCCATCAGGGTTTGGTAGAAACTTCCGGAAATATTTGGGATCAATGGAGAAATTTATTGAGAAGGGAGAGAAATGGATTCATTTATGGAAATAATGATTAAAAATTTAATTTTACTGAGATTTGTCGGTACAGGGAGGAGAAATCTTCAACGTTCCCGGGTTTTAAAAGGAGGAAAATCCCATTCAGGGTGCCTGGAGTGAGGGAGGGAGGAATCTGCAGCCAAAATCCCAAAATAAAACCCAAAAATCCCCAAATCAACCCGAAAATCCCCAAAATCCCCGAATAAACCCCCCAAAAAAACCCAAAAAATCCAAATTAAACCGAAATAATCCCCAAAATAAAGCCAAAAAAAAACCAAAATCCCCAAATAAACCCCAAAAAAAACCCCAAAAATCCAAATTAAACCGAAATAATCCCCAAAATAAATCCCCAAACCCCAATTTTGGGGGGAAAAGTGAAAATTTTGGGTTTTTTTGATACAAAACCACAACGCAGGTGTTGATCCCAGAAGTTTTCCGGGATTTTTGGGGAATTTCAGTGATTTGGGGTCCGAATTTTCCCGATTTTGGTTCATTTTTGGAGCTGTTCCACCGGGGAAAATCTGAATTTTTTTGGGGATGGGAGAGGGAATTCCTGGGGGAAAAAAATCCCAAATTCGTCCCAGGCAGGAAAATTCGGGATTGGGGCTGGGAAAAGGCTCCGATCCCAAAAAAAAGGGAATTTCCCAAAAAAAAAAAGGGAATTTCCAGCAGCAGCTCCGGGAACGCCCAAATCCCAAATTCGGGGTGGGATTTCCTCGGGCTGGGGCAGAAACCCCGAGAAATTAATTAAATTAATTATTAATGAATATAAAATCAATGAAAAATGGGGGGGAAAGCGACTCCCGGGACGGGATCCGAACCCAAAAAAAAAGGGATTCCCCCAAAAAAAAAAGGGAATTTCCCAAAAAAAAAAAGGGAATTTCCAGCAGCAGCTCCGGGAACGCCCAAATCCCAAATTCGGGGTGGGATTTCCTCGGGCTGGGGCAGAAACCCCGAGAAATTAATTAAATTAATTATTAATGAATATAAAATCAATGAAAAATGGGGGGGAAAGCGACTCCCGGGACGGGATTGGGGGGAATTGGGGATTTTGGGGCATTTTGGGCTTTTCCGGGTTCGATTTTTGTCCTTTTCGGGTCCAGTTTTGGCCAATCCTGATGTCAATTTTTGGCACTCCTGGGTTCACTTTTTGGTCACTTTTGGGTCGATTTTTGGTCAATTCTGATTTAATTTTCGGTCACTTTTGGGTTGATTTTTGGTCAATTCTGATTTAATTTTCAGTCACTTTTGGGTTGATTTTTGGTCAGTTCTGGTTGAAGTTTTGGGTCAGTTTTGAGTTCATTTTTGTCATTTTCAGGTCGGTTTTTGTCACTTCTGGGTCCATTTTTGGCCATTTCGGGTCATTTTTTTGTCCCTTTCCGGCTGATTTTTCCTCCTTTTCCTTCTCCCGGGAATTCTTTCATCCTTGAGGCTCCAACAATCCGGGAAAAAACCTAAAAATGAGCAAAACCGAGAAATTCCTTCATTTTCCCCCCTCGGGTTGGGTTTTTGGGGGATTTTGGTGAAAAATCGGGAAAACCTGCGGAATTCTGGGCGGATTCCCCAAAATATTTGAATTTTTCCCCCCCCAGTGCTCCGGGAGCTGCAGAAATTTTGGATTTTTTCCGGAATTCGGAGCCAGATCCACCCAGAATTTTGGGATCCAGAGCCCCAAAATCCCAATTTTCCCTTTTTTCCTCCCAAATCCCCGGATTCTTCCTCCTGCCTTTAATCCCAGAGGGGAAAAAAAGCAATTTGTCCTCGGAAAAATCAAACCAACCCCTCAATTCATTCATTAATTTCCTTTTTTTGGGTGGTTTTTAACCCATCCTTCCTCCTGCTGCTGATTTGGGGTTTTTTGGGGGTTTTCCTCCATTTTTCCCCCGGGAAAAAAGCGGAAAATTCGAATTTTTGGCCCCAGTCTTGGAAATTTCCGGCTCCAATCCTCTCCGAGGATCCCGGGCGGGATTTTAATTGATCTTTTGGATTTCTTAATTGATGATTTTGATTTCTAATTTGGATTTCTGGGAGAGCCGCGGGTTTTTGGGGAGAAAAATCCTGAGCTGAGGGCTGGAAAAAACGAAAT